TGCGCACACAAGCGGGCAGTGCGAATTGTTCTTCCGGGACAGATCGGGCAGTGAACGGTCAGTTAGTTGTTTGTAATCGTAAATAGTAAAGACGCCTCAGTCCAGCTGAATTAGTGTCTTATTTATTAATTTGTTCAGTCTTTATTTTTACAGTAGTCTCCGGTAAGTGCTATACTATCTGAAAATGTGTTTTAAAACTGGTGATATTTGATAATACAGGGTCTAATGATACGCGTTTTTGTTGTTTAATTTAACCTGTTATAACATGTACCCATAAAAACTGTATCATATTCGTTCTAATGGTAGAGTTCCTAAATGATGCTTAAAGGAGGCATATAATGCAATTTATTTTTTAGCTGTTAAATACATTTTTATGTAGTAAGAAATCGTATTAAAATAATTTTAAAACTTTTACTAGTGATAATATGGTAATGTCACTATACAGTAGATGATTGTATCATGTAATGGTTAGTTATTAATGTCCTTTATTTGCATTAAAACAAAAATGTCCTGATGCATCTCAGTAATTCAGGTCCTCTGGACGTCTCTAAGGTCTGAGGAGTTCCAGGTGAACCCAGCCTGATGAGATTTAATGATTTAATGATGACAAYCAACACTGTTCACATGTAAAAGAGYCTGACAGTAGAGCAGGGCCCTGAATGTTACCTAATGTTCACATTTCAGTGAAGAAAAACTTGTCCTGAAGACCTACTTAACTTTTTATGGAAGACAGAAGAACAAAACTGACTTAATTTCAACAGCAGACATGAGATGTTTTAGTTTCTATGAAAGTTTGAGCAAATGTTTTGGAGAAGCTGTTCCACATCCTTAGTGGTTCAKTTTCTATCCTTCAAATGTTTTCATCAATTTATTTCATTAATTACCTTTTAATATATCTTTTTTCCCCTTTTTGCCAAACTGGACATGTTATTTTCCATCTTTTCTAGATGTATTATTTAGGGATGTCCCCATCAGATACTCAGTATCTGTATTGGTGGCAGATATGGCCATTTTTTGAAAATCGTGTAGAATCAGATTTAGTCGTGATCGGGCCGATACAGTTTTCACAACAGTTTTCAGCATCATCATGCTTTACAACTGCTGTTAAGAAGTCAAGACGCACACAAGTATGCAACCATGTCCACAGTGTGGGAACACTT